CTACCTTTAACATGCCCAATATTAAATTCATTGCATATATCTGATTCACCGGTATTGCAAAATTCTCTACCATTGTCTGTATGAAGTATAAAAGGAGAGCTAAAGGTGCTGAACACGTTCCTAAACGAATTACTAACAGACAAGGCATTTTTTTTCCAAACAAAGCAGCAGTTCAGAAGTATTTATAAAATGAATCAACCATCACAAATAACCACTTTAAACCATTGTTTTGGTTTGAATAGTACCTAAGATCAACAAGATCTGCTATAAAACGTTCCTTAAAAAATTAAGCTATTATAAAAGTAATTACATGACGGGTAACTAGAGTTCTACGTTCCAGGCAAACCAAACATTGACTAATAATAGAACCAAACAACACACGTGATATACTATATTCGAGTGTTTAGAGCAACGAAAGAAGCTTATCGCGGTCCGCATGCCCGTTGATATTATGTTGTAGCAATGTAAATTCATCTCTAAAAATGATTTTTTCACACGTAAAAAATCTCAAAACAATACACCCGTCTTTTTAAATCTTAATTCATTTGAGGGCGGAATTAATTAACACAAATCGTCTACACCTTCTTTTGAAAGCATCCACCCCCGTGCTACTCTGAAGCGACAATGGTATAATTTAAGAGGCCAGGAAATTTATGATCTCTTCTCTTTCTGAGTTTGTCAATTCAATATACATAGGGGTTAAAAAAATTTTAAAAAGTCTAATTTTAACTAAATTTTAAATGGGGAGAAGGAGGAGTATTAAAATATTTTTATTTCTTACAAATTTATTGACTATTTATCAGACAATCTATAGGGACTGAGGCCATGGCGCAGTCGCTATGGCGTCCAGCTCCTATAAACTGTAAAAATGCCTATTCTAAAAATGGGATTTTATAATTTATTTTACAGTTTATTGAAAATATAATTAACCTACTTGATTATACTATAAATTAAAAATAACATTTAAATTAAAGAACGTGTAATTCAAAAATTATTTATGTACAAATAAAATTAGGCGTCATTAAAATAACAAAATTTTAAAAACAAAAGAGTAGATATTCCTATGCAAAAATTGTTAAACATATGGTCGTGAATCTGGCGTTTGACAATTAATGTCATTGATTGCACGACTAAATACTTTTACAGTTTAATAAAAATTCATGTAATTTACCACTTCCTGCCTTTTCATTTAATGTCTCTCACATAAATTTACACCCTTTTTCCTAATATTTTTACCAATCTACTTTTCTTTCCTATTTTCTTTATAGTATATGGACCTTCGGGTGCAGGGCCGTAAGATTAAATTTTTTATTTTTTTAACCCCCATGAAAGCTTTTGATGAATCACCAAAAAAAACCATGAGCGCTATCTTACACAGTGTAGAAAATTATATCAATTATTTGATTCAAAAAGGACTTTTATCTACATCAAAAATATGTATTAAGTGTGAAAAAATGACAATGAAAATTGTAAAAGATACTACATCTAATGATGGTTACTGCAGGACAGTAAAGATGTAGACATGTTAATCTGCAGTAATGGGTTGATGGCTTTGACATGTCTGTTATATAAATTTTAATAATTAAATAAACCCATGTTTTATACCAACAATTACATTTACAAATGTAATGATTATAAATGTAGAAAAAGAAGTTTTGCTTGCAAATTGTCTGCTAAGAACGCCCGGGTTGCGATTAATAAAAAATTTTTAGCAATTTATGAATTTTTGGCTTGTGATTATGTTAAGAGAGTAATGAATGATTGTGATATTTCTAAATTAACATTTCAAAAGCTCAAAATAAATGTATTCAAATACATATCAAGTTGTGTCGAAAAATATGAAAATATAATACTGAGAGAATAACACGACATACAAATAGATGAAACGGCGATTTTCAGGGGAAGTTGATCTCTTCGCCATCATCCTTTTATGACGAAAACCAGGCCAGGCCTAACCTCGTTAGTATGACTAATATAACAAGAAACTGAACACATACTAATAAAATTTGTTCCAATCCGTCAAATGACAACAATTACAAGCTTAATAAAGAAGGATATGCTTATAGGAACGATGATTATAACTGACGAACATTCTTCCAATCGCGCTGTCGACAAAAATGCACTTTGTTCGCACGCTATAGTTAATCATAGTATTAAGTTTAAGAATATGAAAGAGTTTCATACCAATACTTTAAAAAAATCTTTTGTCACAGTTAAAGTGTGAAGAAAAAAAAGGTTGGGAGTAATTGGTTTCTATGTTTCAATTTTTTTAAAAGAGTTTGTGTTTAGGTACTATGAATTAAAAATATATGAATTTACTAAATAGGAAAAGTTTGGTTAAAAATAATTGAATATTTATTAAATACTTGAAATTTATTCCCTTTTTAAAAATCTTAATTTTTTTTCCTTACAAGATAGAGCTACCATACATATGACCGAGTTTGCGGCCCTTCCCCGATCTTCATATTGTTCTTCATTTTTTTTGTATTATATTTCTTAATATATACTAAATCATTGACTTTATATGCTTTCTTACTTGAATTTATCGTTGTGGTTATATATTTTCGAATTTAAAATTTTTCTTTAGGTGTTTCATCGGGATCATAGAAATTATGTTTATAGGTTTTTTCGTATGGTAAGTGTAATATTGATCTTCTGAAGTTTAAATTTAGTCTACGATGTATTTTTTTTACTTAAATACATTCTAATTACTTCTGCTGTAATTCCATTAATTTTTTGTGCAATACTATTTGACGATGGATTATATATTAACGTATTAACTGTTTTAATACCTTGTTTGTCCGCGGGTTTTAAAACTTTTCATTTGTTAGTTGTGTTCCGTTATCCAATATTTATGTTTTAGTAATGACAAACTTTTTAATCCTTTGTTTTATTTCTTCGATCACTTCATCGTCTGTAATCTTTTTTAAAAAATATAAGATTAATTTTGTGTTTACATCCGCTATTGTTAAAAAATTAGCCTTGTTTTGAACTTAATCTTCCTTATTGTTTTTTTTTTCAATGGTCCAACTATGCCTATGCATATTTTCGTAAATATGGTACTTGTGATTCAAACGGAATATTCAGTAATTTTTAATTGTTTTTTACACCTCGCACATACATTACAATTTCTAATTAATTCTTTGAATACTTCTTTATTTTTGTACAAAAGTATTATTGTTTAATTTTATTGTAAATTGTCGAAAACCTGTATGACATCCATATTCATGAATGTATTTTTAAAAAAATCGTTTTTTTCAAAAACAACTATTACTCTATTTGTTTTATCTCTTTTCCAGTTTACAACTGTGGTATAATTCTGATACCACATTTTAAGGTGACCAATGATTTACAATATCACGTTGAAACGTCATTCGTTTTAATGATTAAATTAATATATTGGACCATTTGCTAAACAAATATGTTTATTGGTTTACAATAGATATAAATAAGAAAATTTAATTATGAAAATGATGAATCAAGGTAGTCACTACAACAAAAATTCTTCTGCAAGTACTAAGCCCGATTTCAATAAAAACACTTTACGTAAACATATTTCCCGCAGCATCCTAGAATGCTTTTTATCCATAGGGACAATCCCTGGCAAACACGCCAGTAACAAATCGAGTTAAAAAGTTATTCAATTATAATTTAGACTTGACATAAAAATATTCTTTATAAAATTTGTATGTTATTTCTATCCATTACAAGTCCAAGCATTTACTACTTAAGTACAAAGGTATTATAACTTGAAGTCAATTATTCTGCAAATAATTTAAAATTAAATGTTATTTTTTTAAAATCGTATTGTTTAACTACTTTCGTTGCTGTTTTAAAATTTAAAAATAAGGGCAAAAAATATTTTTTTTGAGTATATATAAAACTGTGTAGTTATTAGTATCTTATTTATTTGTGGGAGGTTATAGGTGTAATGATGATTTTAATTAATATTTCCTGTTTAAAAAACGAATTAATATTTTGTTTTTTAAAATTTAATGTTATATGAGCTCCTATATCAAATATCTGCATAAACAATTAAGTGTCATTTATTGCCATTAGAAGAAAAATTTTAAACTTCGATGGTAAAAAATATACTTTCTTTGAGTTAAAAGTAAATTTTGACAAAATTAAAAATAAAGTACTATAAATATAAAAAATTAGTTAGTTATTATATAACTCTTACTAGGAAATTTTATTAAAAAACACTTTTACATTTTAAGTTGTTAATTTTGTCCATAGACTAAAATAGTAGTGTCATGTCTATAGAGTGAAGCAATTTAAATTTAATGTTTGTTGTATTGTGGCTGGCTAACGTATTAGTATTCTGTATTTTATAATTTATCAAACGTGTTTAAAATTATAATTAATTTAATTTAAAATATGACTAGCTAACGTACTAATATTCTGTATCTTTATAATTTATCAAACGTGTTTAAAATTATAATTAATCTAATTAAAAACATATTAATTTAATAGAATTTATGTTTAAACATCTTATAATAACAATGTTGCTAGAAAATAAAGAACTTAATGTTTTGCTTTTCTTAATACAGTTCAATTTGCATTTTCTAAATTATTTATAAAACACTACCTTAGTTCCTTTTATTTCTTCAAAAATAATTAAAAAAATACTTTTTTATTACCTTTATAAGATAATCAAAACATCTTTTTGGTTTTTAATTTTAAGTTAGGTGGCTTAATAATTTTTTATAAAAAGCTATTTACTATTAAAGATATTTATATTGTTTTTATATTTCTTTAATAACCCCTAAATGGTTAATTTTTACACTGGTTGTGTAATGTCTGGAAAAACTAAATTACTTTCTGATATTATTAATTTATTTGACAGTTCAGAATATCTTCTAATCGTACCTAAAATAGTTTTTCCTAACGATGAGGTGCAAGTGAAAAGTAGAGCTGAAGGATATGAAGGAATTATACCAGATATACGTATAGACAAATCTACTGACTTAACAGTATTGTTGACCTCTATGTTGGATAATTCGAATATACGTTTAATTGTCTGCGATGAAATACAGTTTTTTGAGAAAGATCAAATTGATCAATTATTTAATATTGAAAAGATATTTAATTTGAAAATTGTTTGTTTTGGATTGCTTAAAACACACCAAAATACTATTTGGGATGTGGTACAATATTTAATTAACAAAAAACCTAAATATACAGAAATTTTATCTTGTTGTACTTATTGTGAAAATATAGCTACTACAAATATTCGTTTTGATTTTAATTCCAGTGAAAGAATTGATGATTGTGGAAATGATGGTGATAAAGAGAAATACTTCCCGGTGTGTGAAAGGTGTTATAAGGCTAGAGATAAGAGAAGTTATTTAGAAAATAATTAAAATTATTATTACTTTATACCGTGAAATGTGTTAAGTAGTAGGGTAAAAAAATGAGATAATTTTTTTTTAATTTATTTGATTGAACAAAAGAAATTTTTTAATTTTTTATTATTAGTATTTATTTCCTTGTATGTTTTAAATAACAATAAATATTACAAAAAATTTAAAATAAAGATATTTGTATCTGTTAATTAATCAGAGCAGCAAATAAAGCTTTTCAAAAGTGTTACATTAATTTAGAACCTTAGTTACATGTAATTTTTAATATTTATCACCTTCTATCTTTAAGATAAGTAAATCAATCTTAAAGATTACTAAAAGATATAGTAAACATAGAGCAATTAATTTATTAAATTCTTATATTTGATCAACCCTCATGCAAATTTAATATACTTTAGACCGTCGTATTAAAAGTTAAAAGTTTTATAGATCTATTATTTAGCAACATGTTGCAATTTAATAATAAAGATTGTAGCTTACTTTCAAATGCCTTATAATATTATATCTTTTATAATTTTTAATATTTTTTCTTGCGAAAAGAGCTTTAAACAACAACTTTTTGCTTTCATCTCGACATCAATTTATATATATTATTTTATATTACGACTTCATCAAATATCAGACCCAAATAAAATAGGCAAATTTTTTTGCAAAAGGCTAAGCTTTTATTGATAAACCTGTAATCAAAATTAATTCTGACATATTTAAAACGAACTGTGTTGTCCACTAAGGTATAACGCCGAAATATAATTAACTATAGGGTTTAAAACCTTTCTGTACCACAGTGAAATATTTTATTTTTATTGATAGGTTTTATTCATACACTCATTTATTTTATTTCTCTATATAAGTTAAGGCCTACTTAGTTCAAATACTAAAAAAAATTCTAAAATTTTCGTTGTTTTTATAAATATCAATTTTTTCATTTAATTTTTTTTATTAAATGTGGAAAATATTGTTAAAAAATGTTTCTTTTGATAAAATATTATCGCGTTTGTCTTTTACCTCAAAAACATATCAGCAAACCTGGTTTGATATTTAGGGCATTGGTTTACAAAATATATTATTAAACTAAAGACCAATCAATATTTTTTTGTATTTCTATCAGAATAATGTAATTTTCGTTTAATTACAAAGACTTATTAAGATATTGTGCCTTTTTGTCAACTTTGCAACGATTAGAAGATTAAGCATAGTAAAAGAACTTTTTAAAAGTTATAACAGTTGTATGTTAAAATTTTTTGTTTTCATGAAAATACTATAATTTTTAGTTTATAAAAAAATATCAGTTGGGCTATTAAATATATATTTTTTCTCATTAATATCTTTTTAATATAATTTTTGTAGATGTGATTATTGTATTCTTAATTTTTAAAACAAACCTATAGAATGATTTGAACTAATTGCTTCAATAATTCAGTAAGATCGATAGCCCTTTTATAAATTTTTTGTCTGACAAAATCTTTATGATATTAAAGATTTTTATTAGTAAAATAATACATTTAATCTAAAAATACTTGGTTTTTCCTTGTTATATCAAAATTATTGCATGGCTATTTGTAAATGTGTGAGGGTTTAGAATATAAGAATTAATTCATTAAAAAAAAATTCAAATTTAACAATTTGTTTGACTCAGACTTGAATTAAGGCGTAAGAAATAAAGCAATGAGATTAAACATAGAGTGTATGGTAAAAAAATGACAAGAACAAGACAGCATTATTGGTACAACAAGTACTATATTAGATAATAATATGATAAAATGTGTAACTTAAACACATTCCCACAGGGTTAAAAAATTAAAAAAAATAAAGTGAAACTACTTTACAAGTGATGTAGTCAACCCGCCCAATCGAGACATAACGATTTTGCACGAAAAACAGTTCTATTTTAATGATTGTTTATGTCTATTTTTACAAATCAAGGCGATCGGGAAAATTTTTGTAGAATTTTTTTGATTTTTCTTAACCCCTTATTTAGTGTTCAGCATTTATCGGTGAAAGAAAAATATGAAATTATTTTATATAATGATGTACATTCTAAAGCTACTCATGCACAACTTAGAAACATATTTGACATAAGATTTAAGAAATATATTGGTAATTTTACTATTGGAAAGTTTACGAAACAGAAGTCAATTAAAAAAGCTTGATTTTAAAACTTTATTACCCAAGTGCTAAACATATGTCTATTGGTAAGTTTGAAGATATCGAAAGTGCCCTTACAATATGGATTAATGTGCAGGAATTTAGAAATAATCCAATATTTGACGATATTTTTGTAAAGTAAAGCCGAAAATTTTGCAAAGCAATTTAGTATTAAAAATTTTGATCTATCAAGGGGAATTTTATTCAGATTGCAAAAACGGATGGGGGCCTTAAGTCATTCAAGGTTGTAGGATAAATGGTTAAGATTACTTTTAGGTCATTAAAATCCTCCATTGAAGAAATTAAATTGGTTATAAAAGATTATTATAAAAAAAAACAATTTTTAATATGAATGAATCTGGACTGATTTTCTGTATGATGTCCGCCAAAAGTATCTTAACTTCGCCTATTAAAGGTTTTAAAAAAATTTTAACAAGAATTACTTTAGCATTTAATGTGTCTTTAGAAGTGGAAAAGCTAATGCCATTGGTTATAGGAAATGCTGAAAGGCCGAGGTCTCTTCACATAAAATACCCATCAGTATGTGGATTATACACATTCAAAGAAAAGTTGGATGACAAGCACAATATTTAATATTTAACTCATCAACCTTAATGAAAATATGAAATCAAAAAATCTTAAAATATTATACTTGTTAGTAACTGTCCTGTTCATAAAGTCACATAAAAGAAGTTTTTTTGCCATTAAATACTACAGGAGTAATAAAACCTCTTGATTTAGGAATTATAAGATTTTTTAAATTTTGAAAAAAATTGATTAGGCGCATAATACACATGATAGATAATAATTCATGTCTGTCTGTTATTGATGCATATAAAAATATTTCAATTAAAGACGCAATTATATTTTTCTATTTAGCTTTGATGAAGTTGAACTAAGGACTATTATTCAATGTTTAAAGAAATCTCCTCTGTTTTACAATAAGCCTGACAAGCCCGATTTGAATGATTCTGATATAATTGAAGATTAAAATAAGATTAGAGAATTAATTGACATGTTTGATCTAGTCCAGGACTTTTCTATTAAGGATATGATTGTGTTTCCGGAGGTGAAGTTAGTCGATTGTGGTATTGAAGATGATTTAATTGTCGAAATGATTAAGAATGAGCATGTGAATTTTATCGAATAAGAAAATAAATGTATTAACAGCAAAGTGCTTAAATTAAATAAAAACGAGATTGCAGAAACATTAAAACATGGCGAGCGAAACTCTTAAAAACGATATTGATATACTAAAACAAGTTTAAAAATCAATCGAATCCCTTAAAAACTATTTATTAAAGAAAATTTTAGTTATTTTAAAATGGTAACTTAATAGGATGGATTATAAAAAGGCAAATTAAGTTTAAAATTATTAAAAATCAGTTTTTTTAATATATTACAATAAAGCTTTTTTATTAAAAATCAAAAAATTTTAAATAAAAATTTTTCAATCAAGATATCTTCAAAAAATAGTGCCATTTTCTTAAAAGCTAAAATTTCTTTGTTCAAATGTGTCTCAATTTGCCACGTTATTGTACAAAATTATCAGTACTTACTATTTTAAGTGCATATCATGCTACAACCATGGCAAATAATTGTTTCGGGATTTCCAAAACAAAACTGATGGTCTGAAGCAATGTTTTATATATTACTATTTAAAGAAAAATAACTTAAAAAAGATGCGTGAAGAAAATAAGAAGAGCATTAGAAAGCTGTTTGAACCTAGACATCGTTATGTAATAAATAGTTTTATTGAAAGTATTACAGGTTTTGCAGCTACCATTCGAGGAAAGACAGTACATTATGCTTTTTTTTATAAAGCTATAATTTAAATTGAAGAATACAGAACTTTTTAAAAATCGTCAAATGTTTATTTCCTTGTATTCTGACATATTTATTACCAATAATGTCCAAAACAGGGAATAAAACAAAGTAAATTTTGAAGGTTCATTTAACATTTTATTTTATCTATACATAATGACGGATCTGGCATGTTTTCTATTTAAAAACCAATAGACTTTACTTTTTAACATGTTTTTATTTCACGTAAAAGTAATACCATGCAAATTAAAGTTGATTTTTTGTGCTGCTAAAAAATACAACAATAAAGCATTAATTTTTTTGATTTTAATTTAACGGTTTTACAAAAAATTTATTGATTTCAAATTAATTTAATTTTTTTTACCCAATTAATGTTGTATTTATTTTTTAGCATATTTAAATTTATACAAACAAGTAACATTTTAGATGATGAAATGATAAAAAATAATATAAAAAAACAAATTGTTTCTATAGTTGAACAAAAAATTTATAAAAACGATTTTATTACTTTTGAAGATGCTGCCAAAGAGATGCATGCTTATGTTGTAAGAGAAACCAACGATCTTATTAAAATCAATATATGTCATGTTTTATCTTCATGCATAAATGATTATTTTTTTTATGTTGTTGATGAATATAGCTTAACTGATCAGAATTTATTTACCATTTTTTTATTTTTTAAGAGCTTTGGGGTCGATAAAATATATTTAAATACTAGCATTTACGATTATTTTGCTTTTTCGTGTGAAAGCGAATGTGAAGCATTATGTGATTTATTGAATCAGCTATCTTTTAAATCTAAAGGTCCATATTTTTTTTATGTCGACTATTTTAATGATTTTGAACATTTTCATAGTAATAAACGATGTAATAATTCTAATTGTCAACATTCTGCAAAGTACCATCAAGATTATAAATTTTTTGATTTACGTTTATCTATCGATCACAAAACGGGATTTATGTTTTATATTAATTTAGACGACTTTGATTTTTCCTTATTATATAAAAAAAAGATTGAACTACAGTTTAAAGAGGACTGGCAAACAATATACGATTTTTTAAATAACTTTAACTTAAATCAATCTTATAATTTTTTTGATATACCTTTGGGATTGTTTAAAAGTTTCTATACGTCTGAAAGTAGCAAAAAAATTCCTAGCATGTCATTTTTACCAAGTTTTTTTGAAATTTACGGCAAAAAAGTTGTTTTTGATCAAAAGTTTGTTTACGAGATTGAATCAAATTCTTTAAATGGTTTTAAAATTAATATAGAAATTTATAAAAATTTACAAAAATTAGTAAATTTTATTCCTTCAATTAATTTTGTAGATGCTAGTTATATAGTTTTTACTATTTTTTCTCTTTCAGATAAACAAATTTACAGCTTACTTATGAGAAGATTACTTAATTCTAAGTTATCAGCTAAAAAAATATTATTTTTGGAACTATTATCTTATTTAAAAATCATTAAAAGATCAGATATTAATTGGGTCTTGGCTTATAACACAGACATGACACAAAGTTTAATTTGTGATATTTTTAATACTTTTTTTGTTGACAAAATTGTAAAATCTATTGTAGGAGTTAAGTTTAAAAACAGAACAGGTGTATATTACATTTATGTATACATTATTCTTTATTATGAGTTAGAAGATTATATACATGAATGTGAGCTGAATGAAGAACTTAGTTGCAAATTACTTAAAGATTTTAGAGAAATACTTAAAGTTAAAGAATTTAAAAAATTTTTAAATAGTTATCAAACTACGGCATTTAAGATAGCTGCTTTATTTTTTGAATTAATGACTAAACTGAAATTTTTAGACAATTCAGAACAAAACCTTTTGAATGAGTTTTATCATTTTACACGGGTAGTCATAAATAAAATACAGAATAATGCTATTGTTTTAGACAATTTTTTACAAAATAAAGTTTATTAAGCGATTTTGTATAACGTTTGTATTGTATAGCTACTATAACATTTTAATAAATTTACTGACATTTTTGACCGTCTTTAAAAATTTATTTAAAAGACCAAAGTACCTACATTTATCATAAATTAATTATTATATTTTTTATTTTATTTAAAATATAAAAAAAAAATTGGTAAAAAAGAGTAAATAATTTTAGCATGAATAAAAAAGTAAATTAAAATTTTACTAGGAATTTAGTAAATTACTGTATAAAATGCAACAAAGTCTCGTTAAATCAGGACAGTTACTAATTGTGATGAAAATTAAATGCTTTTTTTCTAGTTCTATAAAATTTAATTTTTTAATTAAAAAATTATTTGTAAAATATTTAGAAGTGCTGCTATAAATCTTAACAAAAATACAATTTTAAGATTTTGTAAGTTAAACCCGTTATCATTAATTTTAACAAAAAATAAATGTTTTTTTAAGAACCTAAAAATTTACAAAAATTATAGCAGATAGTTGTAAAAAACTTGTGGATGGCTAAAATCAAAGCTTGCAGCACGATAGATTTTAATTACAAAACAGTTCTATTATTTTTAACTTTCTATAAAAATTTTACATTTTATTATTTATTTGTTTATAAACAAAATATATTTTGATTAATTAAAAACAAAACAAACATAATTTTTAAAGGCATAAATCAGGTTCTAGTTGAAAATACTACTTTTGTTTAAATAAGATTAATTTAGATATTATGTCAAAACTTAATAAAAAATATTAAATATTAGCTTTTTATGTAATAACTTTATATTCAGAAATTTCATATAAATATCTTATATTAATAGGTTCTTGGCACAATACATACCTTATTATATCAATTTTATTCTTTTTTCTTTCATTTATAATTTTTTGTAGTATCTGTTGTAATTCAGGCACATTATATTTTTTTAGTATTTTTTTTAAAATCTCTATTCTTTCATATTCTTCAAAATTCTGTAGTAATTTTTTGTAATCAAATGGCCCATCGCAAAAGATATCATATGCCATTTTTAAAATTTCTTCTAAGGATTTATCATTTGAAAATAATTTATGATATCTGCAATATCTATGTGTGCAAATTATATCAGTACATTTACTACTACATATGTTTTTGTTAACTTTAATAGGTATAATAACATCTTTAATATTTTTATATTTATATTTTAATATATCAAATATTATATGTGTGTATTCAAAAGATCCACTTATATTATATTCATTAAAATATATCATATAAGATATGTATTCGTAAGGTAAGGCAAATTTTGAATTTCTTTTTATAAAACAAAAGCCTTCCCTGTACATTTTTCTGTTATAAAAATAATCTGCAATAGCATTTACAATTTCAAAAGGGTCAGTAGTCTGTGACATATTTAGTTTAGCTAGAATATCTAAATCAGATGTAGAAAGATTTAACATACAAGGGGAAAATTTTAATAATTTTATTTATAAATTTTTTTTTATTAAATATTAAAGTGCTTTATCAATATTTTATTTAATCCTATACCGAGGCATAAAAGATTACCAGTGCTTTAAATCAATCCTTTTCAGCTTATTTAGTCATTTATACCTTTTTTTGTTTACCTCATTCAGGCCTTACAATGCCATTTAAGAACATAACGGAATTAAGACTTAATGTGCTCTTAAATATATTCTTTACATTTCAGAATTACATATTTAAAGTATCATGTTATTTAGTTTTTTTAAACTATTCTTGGCGTTTAACAACTAATACAATTCTAATGCGCAAATTTATCACCCTATGCCTTTTGTGTTTATATCACATGTATGCTTATAATAAATTTTCAACTAATTATTCTATTTAAATTTGTTACAAAAACATAAAAATCTACATACACTACTAATTTAAAAAAGGATTCATTCTGTTAGGATAAAACATGGGTTTATTTAATGATTATTATTTATATAACAGGCATGTCAAAACCATCAACCCAATACTGCTGATTGACATGTCTACATCTTTACTGTTCTACACATTCAATATTGTTAAGCAAAGTACTATAAAAATGTTTTTTGTTTTTACTTGTCTAAATATAAATTTAAATTTAATAAAAAAGATATGTTATATTTTAACAAGCATTTAATTAAATCTTTTTTTTATTTTGATGCTTTTTTGTTTATAAACAAATAAACTTTTTAAACATAAATTTATGAAAAAACAAATGAACAACACTTTAAAATATTTTGCATACATTTCATTACTTATTCATTTTTCAATAATATCATATGAAATACTAAGACTGTTCTTTATAAATATTCCAAAATATTTATCAATGTACGATCTTTCTTCAAATAGAACTGGTTATTTAGTATTTTTAATTAAATGTCTAGTTAAAATAGCCATTCATATTTGTATAGTAAAAGTTGTAGATATTAAATACAAAGAAGAAGAAGTTAAATTAGAGCAAGTGTTTAATAATGAATTACAAGAAAAAGAAGAAATTATTAAAACAGAATTATATGAATTTAATAAACAGGTAGACTCATCTGCCACTACAAGATGGAATTACATTAGAAAGGTTTTGTATCCTTATAAAGCACACATTACAGTGTATTTGTACATTATAGCCAATAATCTTTCTCATCCTAATTTAGTGCTATTTATATTAGCACCATACATCATGTATAAGGTATTATATAGACTATATTCTAAACATAAATATTATAAAATATTTATATGGCCTCTATTCGCAGGACTAGCTTCTGTACTGTACAGTTTTCTACAATTAAAAAAGAGTAATATAAAAGTTATAGATTACAATAATATACCTTTAGATATTTTAGAATATTTTATTAAAAGAAATTACGAAGTAGTAATTTGTAAAGTTGAAGCCGACTTTTACAATGTGGGTGTAATAGGCTTTATGAACTCTGTGGCTATATTTATATTTGGTGATATTTGGAAATTACTTTCTAAAAATGAATTTAGAAGTGTATTGTACCATGAAATAGGGCATATAGTAAATAAAAGTATCTTATATAGAGTAATTATCTCTAAAGCAATCAGTATATCAATGTACGTGATAGAGTTTATTATGATTGCATGTAGTAAAAAGCTAATAAAACCATTACAAAATAATGAGGATGTAGAGAGAAGTAATCGTGATTATGTAAATAACCTTATAATGCTATTTATACTTATAAGTGTAACAATTATTCCATATTTAGAGATGATAAATAACATTTATTCAAATATAGACGAGACAGAAGCTGATAGATATAGTGTCTCTAAGCACGATAGAAAACATTTAATTAATGCATTAATAAAACTTACTGTAGAAAATAATGCATATATAGACTCATCACAGCTATTTAATTACATGTACTTTGATCATCCATCACTGAAAAGACGGATAGAAATAATTAATGATATGTAAATTAAAAGCATATTTTAAAGACATTAAGTAAAAAATTATATTTAAAAAAATATATTGAAAAATATTAAAATCTATTCCTTGTAAAAAATAAAAGTAATAGTTTATTAACCCTTACAAAATATTCTTTTATTGTAATAATATAATCTTAAAGTCATATTAATTAATATAAATTGAAATTATCATAGCATCTTTATTTTTGTGTTGTTAACCTTTTTAAAACATTTATAATTTCTAAAAAATAATACATTTTTAAAAGAAAGAATAATTTAACATATCAATTAAAATTAAATACATACTTCTAAGTTGCTAAGTATTTTATGTGACAATAAAACATCTGAGATATTTAGACTTTTGTAAATACACGTTAGTTTATAAAAACTTTTGCAAAATCAAATTTAAACTTGTCAGTTCGTGCAAAAAATACTTTATAAAATTTTTTTACTGCTAACATTTACAAACTTCGTAAAAAATTAAAACAAAAAGAATAAGGAGAAATACCAAAGTTGATGAATGGAAACCATCAAAAATATAATTTATTAAAAGCTTTATATCATAAATAATTGTACCTAATATTTTAGTTAATAAATTAAAATTGCATTTTTTTGACATTTGTCAATACTGTCAAAAATATCACAAACGGTAAAATTTTTGACAGGTAAATTAATTTAAAAACAATAAATTATTTTTTATCTTTAATTAATCATTAAATGCTGTTTTCTAAAAAACCAATTAAAACCAATTTAAAATAAAATTTTTGACATGTGAAATAATCTATAAGACATCATCTATTAATAATTTTAATCTATATTATCATGTATATATTTATTTTGATCAAACGTATTCAAATGTCATACAGCTCAATTTTATAAAATAATGGTTTTTAATTTAAAAATTCTCCTTTCTAATATAAATAATTTTTTTTTGTGCAGGGTATGACTGATTGCAAAAACATTCTTACTTATGAAAACTTAGTGTATGAGGTAAAAAATAAAGATAAAAAGATTCATACAGAATATGCTAGGATTATTAATGGCCTGTCAGGAGAAGTCAAGTCGGGAAGAATCACTGCCGTTATGGGAGCAAGTGGATGTGGTAAAACTCATTTTTTTGAGTTGCTTATTGGTAGTTTATCATCAAATTGCAAAACATCAGGCATTATTACATATAATGGTCAAGAAAGAGATTGGAAAAAATGGATTAAAATGATAGCATTTTTACCACAGGATGATATTTACTATCCAGATTATACATTATACGAATCTATTATGTATAACCTATCATTTGATAGCAGTAAGACGCAAAAAGAAAAAGAAGCACTTGCAAATCAAGCAATGAAAAATAGTTCTATTTTTCATAAAAAAGATGCGCCTTTAAAAACTTTGTCTGGAGGCGAAAGAAAAAGAGCTATGATAGCAATTACATTGGCTAATAAACCAGAAATACTTATATTGGACGAACCAACTACAGGCTTAGATTCTAACAGTGCCCTTATAATCGTAGAAAATTTAAAGGCATATGCTGAGAAAAATGATAAAATAGTTATAATGACTGTGCATCAGCCTGGTCAGGGGCTTTACTATTTATTCGGCGATCTAATTTTTTTAACCAAAGGAGGTCTTTTTTATTCCGGTGCTGCTGATAAAATAGCTGGTTTTTTGATAAATAATGGGATCGAGCCTTTAAAACATATGTCTATTTCTGAATTCTTGTTTGTGCTTCATTCTAAGGATGAGAATTCGCAAGTAGCCATAAAATACGACCCAATTGTAAAAGAAATTGAGCGAAAGAATGCTTCAGAACAACTTTTTTTGCCGCAGTCGTGCAATAATAATAGTGTTATTATTAATAATTTTAGTATTAGGCATTCTTTTATATTATTTAATCATAATGCAAAACTACTTTTAAAAGGACATATGTTGATAAGAACATTATTCGTTTTCATTTTATTCGCTTCGTTATTCATTTTTTTAGCATTTTTTGGAGATTTTACAAAAATTGTGAAATTTTTCGCCAACAGCAGCCGCATTGATTTTAAAAATCTTAAATTAAGCGAAAAATTTGCGTTAGCCTATCTTCTTTATTTAAATGAATTTATATCAAGTGTTATTATCTATACTATGTTTTTTAGTATTAATGTACAACAACATATTATTTGGTCGCTGGAAATATTTACAGGTAAGTATTCGGTCTATTCTCATTTATTCTACAGATTTTTAGAGAAATTTTTGGTCTGTATGTTTTTCCTGTCCATAGATTTTATTAATCATTTGTTTTTGAACAAAGGATTTGCAATACCCTTGGAGATTATGTTAATGCTCTATGGTGTTATTATAATATCTTTGTCTTTGTTGATTTTCGTTAACTTATTAATATCTTCACTACCTTTGAGAGAAAATTTTTTACTCTTGTTGCAGGCATTACACAATTATCTAATTTTATCACCTCATTCAATATTTCACGCTTTACTAAAAGAAGGGTTAAAAGAAATGTTAAAAAAATATATCAAAACAGGTTATCTCATAATGAATTGCTATTTTTTATTTCCAACTTTTAATTTTGATGCGTGGGCGAATATTGTAACGAGGTCTAAAGAAATAGAACACAAAAATAGAGATTTGGATCTTTTTTTTAAAATTATAGTAAAATCTGACCTTAAAAAGGATATCTTTTATATTCTTTGTCATGGCACACCAGAATATTTATTCCCAAGTTATTCCACTGATGCTAATTTTATACTATCGATATTTGATATAAAAATTACTCCATTTATTCTTAAGCTACTTATTCCTATAACAAGCATTTTTTGTTTAACCCTCGTATTTTTGGGTGTTAAATGGAGTAAGGTCCCTAACATTAGAACAATTTTAGCAAAAAAATAAATAATTTTTATTTTACAAACGTAAATTTTGTTACATATAGTTATCTAAGTTTTAATTTATTACAAATATTAAAGATGTAACTATAATTTTTGCATTTTCTAATATTTTGATTTTTATGTAGCATTAGTTATTTTGATTTTAGGTTTTATGAATCAACATCGACGTAGCCATGAATGAAGGGTTATGGTAAAACAAACGAGAGCAAGCAGAGAAGTCTGCAAAGTGAGTACTTTGATACTCAAAACAACAATTTGGATACAGAAATGTATTTAAAAGACAAAATTAAGCATGTTTATGCTAATGGTAGCACTCCTAGAGTTTGCTACAAGAAAGATCGAGAATTACAATATTCTCTCAACAAATTAAAAATTCTTTCTGAAAGAATTAATAAAAATGATTTTCTTGACAGGTCGAGAAAAGAAAAAAAGCAAGATCTAGATGATCTTAAAAAATATATTTCTAGCTCCTACGAGTTGATTACAACTCAACAGGAATACTTGGAGCTCTTTTATAGTAAGCTAGAAGAACAAAAATGTAAAATAAAAATTTTACAAAAAACCAATTTGGGTGGTGTCATCTTTGATGAAATTGTGTCACCAGAAAACAATTTTGAAGTGATGGTAAAAGATCACTCAAAAGAAAATAAAGGCCAGGAAGTTATTGCAACTGAATTCCAGACAATTTGTAGTAGTGAAACTCTTCATGAAACTGCTGCAGAAAAAAATATTTCTAATCTAGAAATAATAAACAATGATGTTTTAATTAATGTCAATAAAATCAATTCTCCAGATGAAAAGGAGGAAGAAGATAGATTGTCAGAAGATGGCAAAAGAATATGTTTAGAAGTCAGAGAGTCTTCTATTAAAAATGTAGAAACAGATGTTAAAGATGTTTCTAAGAAAACCAATGTCATAAAAAACAAAAATGACGCAAACAAAAGAGCAGTAAGAAAGCATTTAAATGCAATCTCTGCTATAATAGCTGGTAAAAGGAAAGCTCCTAAGACTGGACTTAAGCTTTACCAAGTAAATGATGATGGATGGATATCTGTCAAACATACTTTTAAACCAAAGATTTACTTTGGTTCTAATAATAAAAATAACTTTAAAAGTTATAAGAAAACAAACTTTAATAGATTTAGTTCTATGGAAGTAGAAAACAAAATAAAGGAGATTACTCCTTTATATAAAAAGGGTCATGCAGTGTCACATGACAAACAAAAATCTTCTAAAAAGGAGAACAAAAAAATTAAAAATATCTATTTAAAGAAAAATTTAGCCCATAATATGGCTGAGAAAAAGATCAAAGAAAATTCTTTGAAGAATAAAGCCCCGGTTCGATCTCAGAAGAACTGGGCAAAAGGGAATAGCAAAGATACCCTTAAGAAAATGATACAGGAGGGAACCAGATTGTCAGATTGCAAGTTTAAACTTGTTTTAATGTACGGACTAAACCCCAGAGGGCAGCATCAATCAAGAGACACATGGGCTGCTCTCATGGAGATTGAGACAAAGGATCTCCCCCTGTTAAAAAGGATGCCTGACTCTGATGTATTTCTACTGATGGTTAGAGAAAATGTTTGCCAAAAGGCAATAAAAAATTTTAAAGAGAGTTTTAAAGAGATCCATATTTGTGAAGATATGTCAGAATTTTCTGACTTTTTAAACTTTAATAGAAAGATTGTTTTGGATGAGTTACTGAGGCTCTCCAAAACTCATGCTAAGTTTATACCTCTGGCCAATGCCTGTAAGTATATAAAGAAAAAAATAAATAAAGAAATAGCTGACTATGGTGATTTCTTATATTTAGGAAAAATGATGGGTGAGCCTGCCCGAAAAAATAAGGATTTTAATAATGAATAAATGTCCTTTTGTTCTTATGTCCTGTTTTCATAGGAGTTTAGTCTCTTATAGAAAGAAAAATATTTTCAATATACTAGAAAAGAAAGTAATTAATCGTCCTAGATTAAAAAAATTTTTTTACTCTTTTTCTCATCATTCTAGACTTAACTGTCTAAGATCTCTGTCCAAAAGGAGAAGAATGATGATCTTGAAGATACAAGAAAAATATTGTATTGTCAGAATACAAAGAATACCTTTTGGAGGCAAAGACCTTTTAAAAATGTTGACAAAGAAGGAACCTTTACTTAGAGGAAATATCCTTACTTTAAAAAAGTTTAGACGCAAGGACACGTCTTTTACCAATATTGTAGTTACTAAATTACAAAGAAAAATGTTATTAAAAACTGTTAAAGACATTGGTCTTAAGGTATTGAATAACAGGAAAAAAAGATTAGTTTTACCTAATCATAGAAACAAAGAGATGAAAGAGAAAATAAAACTCTTAAGTCTCAATATCAATCATCTCTCTAACAAGAGAGAAGAACTTGAGGTTCTCTTGAAAAAGGAGAAACCAGAAATCATGTGCCTACAGGAGACATGGAGACAATCAGTGTTCCCCTTAAGGCTTGAAAAATATACTGCTATAGAAACTAGTAGCAGTGGAAAAAACAAACCAGGATTAATTACTCTGGTTAAAAAAAATGGAGCTATTAGATGCTCTAAGAAAGGGACCAACTCAAACATACTGCAAACTGTGGTTGAGTTTAGGTCAGTAGGCAAATGGATTAAGTACTTGATCATCAACGTCTACATACCACAAGACAGGGACCTCAAGAGAGAGGTTCTTGCCAGACTATTATCCCTTCTTTATGAAGAGAAATTAAAAAATCACTATAGTGAGATCATAGTGATGGGAGATATGAATATGCAGGATTCATCTTTCAAGAAAAAATTA